TGTGTGTGTGTGTGTGTGTGTGCACATGCGCACACGTGCATGTTGGTACTGGGGCTTGAACTCAGCCTGGGTGCTGTGCTTTTTTTTTCCCCCTAAAACTAGAGTTCTACCATTTGAGCCATACCTCTACGTCTGTTTTTTTCACAGTTAATTGGAGATAAATAGTCTTACAGACTGTTGCCTGGAATTGGTTTCAAAAACTCAACCCTCAGCTCTCAGTCTCCTGAGTAGCTACAATGATAGATATGAGCTGGTCCTTAAAGGGACATGACACAAAGTGGAAACAGCACCATAGTAGTCACCTATATAATATGTATTTAAAATCTGAAATTGTAGTTCATCTTTACTACATACAGTATGTATATAATCATTAAATAAAGGCAACTATTTTAATGATGGAATATTTCTGTTAAAGAGTTAAGAAGTTCAGAGATCAAGATACTGTGTGTGTGTGTGTGTGTGTGTGTGTGTGTGTGTGTGTGTGTGTGTGTGATGGTCCTGGGGCTTGAATTCAGCACCTGGGCACTGTCCCTAAGCATTTTGCTCAAGGCTAGCACTCTATCACATAGGCCATAGCTCTACTTCCAGCTTTTTGCTGGCTCATTGGAGACAAGAATCTCACAGACTTTACTGCCTGGGCTAGTTTTGAACTGCAGTTCTCAGATGTTAGTCTCCTGAGAGGCTAGGATTACAGGTGTGAGTCACTAGTGCCCAGTTCCAAGATACTCTTTTTTCTTGGCTGTACTAAGGTTTGAACCCAAGGCCTTGTAACAGATGCCCTACCACTTGAGTCGCACCTCCAGTCCCTCCAAGATATAATTGGCATGAAATATCTCTGTTCCTCATGGTCTCTTTTTAGCTTCTTGTTTGAATCCTGCCTTAAATCCGAGGGAGTGGGGGAGGGCATTTCCCAGATTTTTCTTCCTCTTGAATTTGGTTCAGGTTCTTTGATTTAAGCTTCCAAGGAAGGAGGGGTTCTGCCTCCCTCCCATCCTAGGCACCAGGAAGGAAAATGGTGCCTTCTACAGTTGAGAAATACACTTGAGTTGAGGAGTTGTCTCAGTGGTAGAATACTTTCCTGTCATGTGCTAGGTCCTGGGTTCCATCCTTTAGCACCATAAAAAAATGAATGAATAAATGAAAGGAAGGAAGGAAGGAAAAAACAAAGGAATGGAGTTAAAGAACTATTCTGGGTGCTGGTGGTTCATGCCTGTAAATATTGCTACTCAAGAGGTTAGAATTAAGGATCAAGATTTGGGCAAACAAACCCAAGAGATTGTTATTTCCAATCAACCAACAAAAAGTTACAAGTGGAGCTGTGGTTCATGTGGTAGAGCACCAGACAGCCTTAAGGACAAAAGATAAAGGACAGCTTCTAGGCCCTGGTGACAAGCCCTAGTACTGGCACACATGCAGGCATACACCCCCACACCCACACCCACACACAAAATAAATAAATAAGCAAAATGAAACACCTGAATTATCACAACTGAGGTAATTCTCCTCAACCAAGAATTCTGGTAATATAACTGCAGTATCTTACTTACAAAGATAAATATTTATACTGAGCATACTATAAATCTCTTTCTTTTTCTTATTCCAGTCTTGGGGTTTGTACTTCAGTGCCTGGATGCTGTCCCTGAGCTTTGATTTGCTGAAGTCTAGTGCTCTGGTACTTGAGCCACAGCTCCACTTCTGGCTTTTTAATGGTTAATTGGATATAAGAGTCACACTAATTTTCCTGCTTAGGCTGGCTTTGAATCTCAATCCTCAGATCTCAACCTCCTAAGTAGCTAAGATTACAGGCAGGAACTATTGGTGCCTGGCTGAAAATACTGTAACTTCTTGACAGCTAGCAATGATCATTACCTAGACTGAAAGATTGCTTACTACCCCAAGAATGCTGAAAAGTAAGTTTTCTTTGATGTTTTCTTTCAGTTCTGTATTAAAATTGGTAGTATTGAATACATGTAAGCACACATATACACACAGACATGTGTCAAGATACAAGCACAATTCTTAGCAAATCTTGTTGGCACCACTTAGACATCCAAACATATCTACAATGTAAAGAGTAAGGATGTTTTGCACCTGAAGGGAAAATATCTCTCAGCTAAAATCAGGTGTTTTTAAGACATAGGTCAAAAACTACTGCTAAAGCTGAATTTCCAAGACCATTAAACATTAAGCAGGCCAAGAGACAGTCACAGTACAGTCACTCCCCACGATAGTACAAGCTAAAAGTATTCTTTTCATTATAACCACAGTTTTTGTGACATTACTATGTGAAAAAACATTTTTTTCCTCCACTAAATAAGAAGAGTGAGTCTTTGGAAAAATGGCCTTCAAATTCAAATCCTAGCAGGGTGTCAGTGGCTCACACCTATAACCCTAGCTACTCAGGGGACTGAGATCTGAGGATTTTGGTTCCACGTCAGCCCAGGCAGACAAATCCAACAGAGTTTTCTCTCCAGTTCTACACCAATAATCAGAAGCGGAGCTATAGCTTACATGGTAGAGTGACAGCCTCTAGTGAAAAATCTAAAGGAGAGTACTCTGACCATGACCTCAAGCCCCAGTGCTCACACACACACACACACACACACACACACACACACACACACACACACATCTAACACAAACTAGCCCTGGGGCTCAAGTAGTCTCAGCACATTTCTCTCCTCTCAGCCTTAGTTTTCTTACATACAAAAGTGTATTTTCTGTGGCTTCAGCAAGAGTGGGTAAAACACCAAGTACAGGCCTTAAAACCAATAGCCATCTAGCTACTAAAGAAGCTGAGATCTAAGGATTACAGTTCAAAGGCAGCTCAAACAAATTTGTGAAACTTTTTATCTTCAATTAGCCAGCACAAAGCAACAAGTAGAGGTGTGGTTCACATGGTAAGGCACAAGGTACCTTGAGTAAAAAAGTGAAGTGAGAGCATAAGTTCCTAAGTTCAAGCCCCAGTAACAGCATACACAAAGAAAAGACACAATATGTAGTCTAAAACAGCACATATTGCTGCTTCAGAACAATATTTTAGATCAAATGAGGGTCACTTCAGAAATTTCTATTTATTGTTTTAAAAGCTCATTATGGATATATCTCAGTCTCAATCTAAACTAACTTAACTTTGTTAATTCTGCCATGGAGAGATACTATTAAATTTTAAGTGATAAAACAAAAGAGACTCTGTCAGGGACCAGTGGCTCATTCCTATAATCCTAGCTACTTGGAAATCTAAGATCTGAGGATCACAATCGAAAGCCAGCCCAGGAAGAAAAGTCTGGGAGACTTTTATCTTCAATGAACAAACTAGAAGTGGAGCTGTGGCTCAAGTGGTAGGTGACAGCCTTGAATGAAGAAGCTAAGGGACAGTATGTAGGCTCTGAGTTCAAGTACCAGTACCAGCTCACACACACACACACACACACACACACACACACACACACACACACAGAAAGAGAAAAGAGACTCATAATATCTCATCATATCATAATATTCAACCTACTAAATCCATCTGTGTACAAAAATGTTTTAAAAGCATCCACTGGATTAGACTGATCATACATTGATATGCATTGAAAATCCTTTCCAATCCTTAAGTATTTCAATCCCTCTGCAGCTTTCCTAGGTAACCTCAGTCAGGAGACAATTTTCAGAAGAGAGTTAGCTACACTGTGTTTTGGAGAGGTTGCATGGACATGCAGGCTACTGGAATAGTCTTGAGACTGCAAGCATGCTGTTTAGGATAAACCAACAGGCTTCATTCTAAATGATTCCCCACAAGACCTTGCATGTACTGCCTTGCTATTGTCTAAGCGTTGGTGTGCTGTTCAAAGTTCTTCCATTGGTTGTATAGAAACTGCTATAAATACACTGCAAACAGGGAAGTATCCATGTTTACCTGTCTGCAGTGACAGAAATGGCCCTCAGACACAATGACTTTTCAGTCCATTTACAAGTCAATTCTTCTGTGTAATTTCCCAACTATGTCTTTACTTTCTGAAAACAAGCAATACAGTTTTTATTGCATTTAAGGATATTTTTGGGAAAATGAAGAAAAATTTAACTTTTCATAAATGGCCACATGGTCATTCTGCTTGTGAAATCACAAGATATAGCTGATGTATACCATAGTCATGTATGTGAGCTGTGCATTCACAAACTAATTATTAAAATACGAGTCTACCTGATTCAAATGTATTTTGTACTACCAATAATAGGAACCCAAAACATTTGGTCTATAATAATACTATTTGTCTCATTCAAGAATCACTTATTAAGAAATGGGAAAGGTATGTTTGCATGCTTCATAATAGCTTCACATTATTTTTCAGAATATATTAAAATAAATTGAACCTTTCAATTATTTTTTTGCTTTCTGAAAACAGATTATGGCTCAAGAAACTACAGGGATAGATTTAATCAAGCTTACTTGGTATGGTATGTAAAGCAAACATATTTCCTGATTTGTTGAGACTATTCTTTTAATTCTGGACGTGCATGGCAACATTTGAAAGGAGTAGTCTAGCTAACTCAGGAAACCATGCAGAAGTTGTAACATTTTAATTAATTTTTATAAACAGCAAGAGCTAAAAGAGAAAAGAATGTAGCTTTTATTAACTAGTTCATAGTTTCAGTGTTGATCATTGAAACCAATTATAAATTAATTCATGCTGATATAAATAGATCTCTTGCAAATAGAATTATGTAAACTATTTTTGCTGGCTGCTAGATACATGCAGAGTTGAAAATATACCTTGATTTTATTTAAAATTTTATTTTTAAAAAGTTCAGAAAAAGGAATTCCTTCTCCATTCTCCATAATAACTGAGATTTATTTTTTTAAGTCCAGGTAAAAATTCTGGGAATTGTTAACTTCAATTTTTATAGTATCATGGCCACATCAAATCTCTGTCCTTCCCAACCTCCCCTGCCCTCCCCGAAATAAAACAGAAGATAAAAAAGTACATCCCAAATAAAATATAAAACAAAATGAAATAATGTTGAACACCAAAGTCAACAACTATTTTTTTAAAAGACAACACTGGTAACATTTTCACTTCAATCACTTAACTTTATCTAAATGATGTCATTGCCCTGTCAGTGCTAAGTGCTCCTGTGTCTTGAGAAAGGATCCAGAGCAAAGGGTTTATGAGAAGCCTGTGTCAATCACTGGCTGGGCAGTGGAAGTGCTCGGTCTGTCTAGCCAATGTCCTCTTAGGTGGAGGCTGCTACACATCACTGGGTGACCGTGCCCTCTGGGACAGACTGGATGGGATGCAGCCACAGCAAATGAGGCAGAGAGCCTTCTGGATCTCTTGGTTTCTGAAAGCATAGATGACAGGGTTGATGATGGAATTGTAGGTGGCGGGCAGGAGAGTGGCGTAGGTGTAGATGGATGGATAGGTGTAATCTGCTATCAAAGAGTAGAGAGTGAAAGGCATCCAGCAAGCAGCAAAGGTCCCCAGGATGATGGCCAGGGTGGAGACCCCTTTCCGGGTGGTCACATAGTGCGAGGTGGCCAGGAAGTGGTGCTGTAAGGCTATCTGATGGGCGTGTCTCATCACGATCTTACAGATCTGAATGTAGAGCTGAAGCATCAAGGCGAACATGAAGAGGAAGGAGATGGAAAGGATGGCGGCGTTGTTCTTGGTGAGAGGTCTGACCACACTGCAGGTGGATTCATCTCGCAGGCAGTTCCAGCCCAGGACAGGCAGCAGCCCCAGGCAGATAGATGTCCCCCAGAGCATGGTGAGCATGACATAGGTGAAAGTGACGGTCCTCTCCGAATGGTATGTCAACGCGTAATACAGCGAGAGATAACGGTCCACCGTGATCGCCAGCAAGCTGCACACAGAGGCGGAGAAGGAGGCCACGATGAGTCCGATGGTGACCAGCTTGGTGGCTTCTGACTGAAGCAGGTAGGCAAACACAAAATTGATGATGAGCCCAATACCGGCCAGCAGATCTGCAAGAGCCAGGCTGCCAATCAGCAGGAACATGGGCGCTCGCAGGCTGGGGTTGTGGAAGATGATAAGGACCACGATGGCATTTTCACAGGACATGAGGGTTCCTGAGGTGCACAGGACAATGTCCCAGGGGTTGACTATGAGCTCGGGCTCTGACTCCACAGCGGGAGCCTGGGGGGAGCCAGCAGCAGATGCGTTCTCCGGAGCATCTAGAGAATCCCAAGGCAGCCCGCTTAAATTGACCTTCAGGTCTTCATTCATTTTAACCCCTGTCCTCTTCAACGAAAAGACAGGCTTTTTAATGTTTAGGTACAGCAGGGTGACAATCCAAGACCATGCAATACACAACACAACACAGAAAAGCCAGCCCTGACTGCAATACCAGTTACCAGTGGCCACGAACCGATGGGGAAATAAAAACAAAAGCCCCCTCCCCATCCCCCTTCCCCGACAAAAGTCTCCTTCGATTACACCCTACCCAAACATGCCGTCTGGCACGGGGGCAAAGCCAGGGGGAGGACCGGCGCGCACCAGCGCGAGCCTGGCAGGCACACGCGCGCTCGCCGCCCATACCCTTTGCCAAAGCGCTGCACATTTGACAACCGCATCGGGTAAGCGGAAAACCAACAACTGGTTGACATCTGGGCGGCTGCGGAGAACACCACACGGCAGGCGCGGGCCTCGAGCCGCAAGCCGCCATGGGGGCGGGGGGGGGTGTCTCGGACCCTCCAAGAGCATCCCGCGCGCGCGTGTGCACACCCTCAAAACACACCTCCTCCCACCCAGAACAAAGAGGGGAGGGGGTCCCAGACCCTCATCGTGTGCCAGGGGCAGTCGGGGAGGATTCCAAGAGGTCGGTGTGTGTGCAATGGAGATGCGGAGACAGACACGGACAGACAGACAGACAGATAGACGGATGCTCATGCATTGCTACCGCTCCGTCGCTCAGCGGGGATGCGCGGCGGCGGCGCACAAGACCGGGACAGGTGGCCTGCAAGGACGGGGTGGGTGGGAGGGGGGAGAGCCATCGAAGAGGGTCACCTTGGCACGCCCAGGCCGGGAGGAGGGGAGGTCCTCCGATGCTTCCGAAGAAGAGTGCGGGGGCTACCCGCGTCGCATGTCGGCGGCGT